TGAAGTTATGAAAAATGTGTAAAAAGTATATTTTTCGCTTGGAGATAATTGAGCTGATACAGCAATTAACTCAATTATCTCCCAAGCAGAGGGGAGAAATTTACTGTAATGAATGGGAGTGTTTAACTGTGTAACTGTAAATGATTGGTTGTTGAGTTTGTGTTTTCAGTGCCCAACAAGGTGTGGTCCATGGCGTGGGTAATAACATTGTGGGAAAAGTTGTATATAAGGAGCAATAAGCCTCAGTTCTGTCTGTTCTGTTCTGATCTGCTTAACCCTCAATACGTAGCCTCGTCTTGTTATTGTAGGGAACTGCTATAATCACACTAGGGATTGCTATACTTTGTATATTCCCCTGAGCTCTAATCACTTAGCTCTTTTAAGAGCTGTTCCTGATACACTCTCCTTAAGGGGAGGTCTTTCCCACACGGTCCTGGAGGACAGAGGCTGATCCAGGTTGGAAGGAAGCTTTGGCGGTTGTGGTGTCTGCGTTGGTTGTGGTGTCCGGTATGGTGGTTGTGGTCTTCGGCGCAAGCTAGGAAGCGACCGTCAACGGAAGGTACTCGGTCAGAGTACAGGTGATCCGTTACAGTGATGTGTGCCAGAAGTGAATCCTAATCTGCCCTCTTGGAGCAATGAGTTAAAGGAGGCCACAAGTGGAGGTTGCAAGACATCTCCAGATTTCTTGTAATACTGTAGGGGAAAGCCATCTGGGCCCAGTGTTCTGCCCATTTTGGAGGACTTCGTGGCCCCCTGGAGTTCATTTACAGTTATTTCCCTATCTAGCAAAGTCGCCGCATCTGTTGATATCATCTTAGTAACATGTGTCGAGAGGTAGGTCTACATTTCCTCAAAGCGTCTGGCAAGTGTTGTGGGTCACTTGCATCAGAGATATTATAAAGTCCCTTGTAGTAGTTGTGGAATAGCTCAGCATTTCTGACGGATGCTAGAATGCCGAGAGGGCCCCGTTCGTAGCCTGTGGATATGAAACCTCTCTTGCCATTTTTTAAGCATTCTAGCTAGTAGGTGAGAAGTGACACGAGATCCTTCCTGTTTGATTGGAGTTCACGTAGGTCTGTCTCAGCTAACGTTTGTTTGTGACGCAGTTCCACTGTCGCAATTTTGTCCAAAATATTCTGGATCTGTTCTGTCCTAACTTTTTTCCTATCTGCTCTGTGACAGTTCCTCTGTCTCTGGGTTAGAAATTGTCATTTTGTTCGTTTCTTTATTCACCACAAAAACCCTTTCATTCCCTTCAACAAATTTGCACTTCGGATACAGTCGAAGTGTCGAAATAGTCGAAGGCCATTTTACTTAATCGAACAAGGTCAGCGGTGTTTTGCCGTCAAGTTCATGGAACTCAAATCGGACACGCAACAGCACGAACACCGCTGAACTTTACCTTCTCCGGAAGTTCGACTCCTCAGCAGGAGTTGAACGGCGTCTGTCAATTATCGACTATTTGAACTAAACTTAGACATTGAAAAGTGACTGGCTGCACAGCCTAATTCTCTGGAACTGTTTTGGACATGAAGCCATGCTTGCAGTCGGCCAGATATGACTTCCATGAATTTCCTGAACTCCTGCTCTGATCTGGGGGATTTATGGATATGTTGTTCACCCAGATCAGGGCTAGCAGGGGATATAACTTTTATGGGAATATATGCAATTTTGGGGTAAAAATTTATGTTTTTTCTGTTAAAGTTAATTGAGTTTGCCATTTGTCTTCAGTAATTATATCACAGGCAGAGGGGAGAGATTGTGTACAGTATGTAGGAGTGTTATTCATGATCACACTGTTTCTGATTGGCCTGTATGTTTTATGTCTGGTGCCCAACAAGGTCCAGCTGGGCGTCAACCTTGTTGGGAAAATTTTATATAAATCAAGCCTGTGTCATTAAACCTTCAGACTTCTTTACCCTCAATACTGAGTTCTGTCTCTTATTGGGGGGAAACTGTTATATCACAATCACTAGCTCTTGTAAGAGCTGCTCCTGCTTCACCTACAGATGACTTTGGGATTACTACAGCACCTCTCAATATTGGGAAAAGGACATCTCTGGCGGTGAAACCACTTCTACCCATAGGGGTACCGCTACATGCTCCAATAGAAATTAGAACACACTCTTGTGATCACACTCTTGTGAGCCTCCCATAAGGTAGTCCGAGCTGTGTAAGGGTTGGCCTTTTTTTTGAAAGTAGGCTGTTAGATCCTCTCGTACAGTGGTGCATGCTTCTTCTTCCAGTAACGATGATTGTGTTCCGAGTTGTTCTAATCTTTATTGGAGCAGATAGGAAATAGGTTAGGACTGAACAGATCCAGAATATTTTGGACAAAATTGCGACAGTGGAACTGCGTCACAAACAAACGTTAGCTGAGACAGACCTACGTGAACTCCTATCAAACAGGAAGGATCTTGTGTCACTTCTTGCCTACTAGCTAGAATGCTTAAAAAATGTAGGTAGTTCCAATATAAATCGGGAAAGAGATTCATATTTTTACAAAAACAGCAGGCACTATAGGTGCCCAATGGACAACACGTGACTACCCAGGAAACTGGTGGCCACCAATATTAGGGTGATAGTAAAACCAGCACCCGTGTAGAGGAGTTTCAGGCTTCCTATGTTAGCGCCCCTAGAAGATACGCAGGCAAGTGCCCGGTTTGTCTCCCTCAACCAGGGAATATATGTGAGAGTCATATGACTATTCCAACTGTGTAAGTAGAGTCTCCCACCTCGGTAGTCCCTGCGTGTATGTATATTCCAGTCCAAATGTCAATCAAGTAAATTGTGTTATGCCTACACCCCCTTGGCTAGTTCGATAGTATGTAATGTTGCAATTCCAAAAGTGAGCTCCCAGATGAGTCCCCACTGTGTAGGACGACCAATTCCCAAAGAGGTATCAGTGTTCCCTGTTCACGATGCACCAAGGGGTAAGCAGAGTATGTGTGTTCCACGGACACCAGAAGGGAGCTACTCACGACAACCAGGCTCTGATCCTGACAGGTGGTACAGATAAGCCATAACACATACAAAAGGTGCCTTAGTGCAGCGACCTATCTTGCCTGCTTAACCCTCGTCCCTCATTCCCACCCGGTTTCCTCAGTACATTATAACATGCATCATCAGTACATTATAATGTGTTTCTTCAGTATATTATAACATGCAGCGGTACATATCTTTCACCATTGCCTGACAGGGCATGCACATTTCCTAAGGTTAGTGAGGGCGTGGTTGTGGTGGTCCCATGACAAATGGAGGGGGCATAAAAATAAAATAAAATAAAAACAATAAATATTTATGGTAAAGCAACCTGGCCAACCCCCCCCTCTGCCCACCTATCTACATGGCAGCATGGTAAGCATCAGTGTTACATTATATCATGCAACTGTACATATCTTTCAACATCGCCTGATAGGGCATATCCATTTCTTTAGTGAGGTTGCAAAAGAGAAAAAGAAAGAAAAAGAAAATATAAAGGGGGAACAGTGCGTGGCCCAACTGCAACCATTCACTCCCTATGACATATGACCACACATATCTATTTAATATCTATTTAATGTTAAGGCACATCCGGTGCAAATAAGTAATGTAAGCAACATAACATAACTAGAAAGCACTTAGCAATTTCAGCGTCCCATTTGTAGTTATGTGTTCCTTATGGTAACTTCTCCGGTGCAGCCCCTGAGGTTGTGTGATCTGAGACTGTGTGATCTATAACTCCCCATGAGCACCCACCCGATGCGGATCACGGCCAGTTCGGCCCAGATTGTGCCTTTGAGGGAGGTCCCCATAGCCTCTGCATCTGCCTTAGTGAACATAGCCTGAGAGATTACCTATGAGGCACGTATCCCCAACAGTACCCCAGGGGCAGGTCCCAGGTCCCCACGTCCGGGAGCTCAGCGTGACACAGGGTGTGGAGGGTCATGGGGAGTGCAGGGCCTCTTACTACAATCCATTTGGACCAGGTATCTTGCTGTTAACAGCTATTTCAGGGACCCGGTGTCAGGAGCCAAGGTATCAAGCGGCCATCTCGTCTGCGTGCCAAGCCATGCCCCTCCTGGAAGGTAAACGTTTTAAATGATTTAATATGTTAATATTTTTGTATAATCTATTTGCCAAAGTGGAGGAGGTTGCAGTAAGCACCCCTTGCAATTTGCGAATGGGTTCGTTAAAGAGGAACACAGTCTCACCCATGGCCATTAGCCTGCCCTTATTTCCCCAACCCAAACACCAGCCTGGTACCCCCAAATGCCCAGGCCAACCAAAACATGAAGCTGTGATTTCCTACCCAAGAGGGTTGATGCAATACATGTCCCTAATCCGTATCCCCAGGGCAGGACCTAGGACTCCATATCTAGGTAAGCAACTCAGCAGAATGAGGACAGAAGCACCGGTGGCACTCTCTCCAGTAAGGAATCCCTGCATGGGTGCGCTTCCATTGAAGTACCCCTCGTGTTAGCCCGGGTCCTCACCGCCCCAAATCACATTAAACCCCATCTAGGTACTCTTAACCCCTTAAGGACCAAACTTCTGGAATAAAAGGGAATCATGACATGTCACACATGTCATGTGTCCTTAAGGGGTTAAACTTGTTATGGAAGTCACAACTGTGGGGCTGGAGTGACCCATCATTCTGTGTGGTATCGTTCGGCCAGAAGCAGCGGGGTGAGTGTAGGGTAGGGCATCTATGCTGGCCTGAGCGCTGTTCTCTCGGCGGTAGGATGGTCAGATGTAGTATCCAGTTTTGCACGGTTGCTTGAGGCAGCTCGATGGTTCAAAGACACGTGGTACATCTTCTGGTGTTTTTATCATAACCCAGGTATCACCCGCCCTCACGTGAAAGCAGAAAGGGAAGCCCCACCGGTACGGAGGAGACTCATGATCAGGCGCAGAGCCCTCCTTGCATTTAATGTGAGTGGTGACAAATCCTGGTACAGATTGATCGTTGCATTGCGGAATTGCCACCCATGGCGTTCCCTGGCTTGTTGCATGATGCGTTACTTTTGCTGGAATGAGTGCACACAGCAGATAACATCACGGAGTGTCTCATCTTGCCTAGGATGGTGGAGGGCCCAGTGTACCCAGTCTAGTTGGGAATTCTCTGGGTCTTCATTTCCCAGGATGAAGTTAAAAAGTGCTTGCAGTGTGGCCTCTAGCGGTTCCCTCTGTATGCTATCAGGTAGGCCGTGTATCCTAATATTACACCTACTACCTCTATTATTGAGGTCTTCTACTTGCCTTCTTATGTCCAACAGCATGTTCCCTTGTCTTGTGGCTGCTATTTCAGCTGCGGTGTGCTGCTGGGCGAAAGTGACGGCTGTGCCCTCGAGGGAGGTAACTCTTCCCTGAAGGGAGGTAATATCCTGGCAGTTTGCAACCGGTTCGGCCCAGATTGTGCCTTTGAGGAAGGCCTCTATAGCTCCTGCATCTGCCTTAGTGAACATAGCCTGAGAGATTGCCTGCAGGTCAACTCTCAGTTGCGCCATCGGGTAGTGTGAGCCCATATCACTTGTCTCGTAGGGCCCCGTGGAGACCACCATGTGGCGGGAGGCCGATATGTCAGCCAGTTCTGCTGCAGTGGACAGGTACTCATCCATCGGCTGTGGTGCGCAGGGCATCTTAGTGCGACCCGTTTGGACCAGGTATCCTACTGTTAGCAGCTATTTAAGGGACCCTCAAAGGCACAATCCGTCAGGAGCCAAGGTCTCAAACGGCCATCTCGTCCACTTGCCAAGCCACAGCTTTTTAAATGATTTAATATGTTAATATTTTTGTATAATCATTTTGCTGACCGTAGTTCAGCCACTCACAATGCAACATTGTAAGTGGCATTAGAGATTGGTCTAATTTAGCCAATAGGATATCCACCCATGAAAATACGCGCTTAAATTCTTGCATGGTGCTTCAATAATGGGAAAATGTAAGAGAAATGTTTAAAACATCTGAAGTAGTATTTGGTTGTCTTAATGTGACATTAACCATAGCTAAATATAACTTCGGTAACAGGGAAGTTTTAGAAGATGTGAACAAGTGAAATTTCCTGTCCATTATTGATCTGTTAGCTAAATATTCATGTACAAAAATTTAACTAAAAAAAAGAGGGGGGGGGACACAAAACCCTTTATCAAAAAAGAGTAACATATAAATAAAACTTAGCTTTGATTTAACTCTTATAAAATTGTAAATATAGTTATAAAATTAAATGTAGAACAATGAAAATAGCTAAGAAATGGCTAGGGGCAGATCTAAAAAGAAAAAAAGGGTACTTATAACTATACTGTTGTGCCTTTGAGGGCACCCCTTAAAAAGAGCTAACCACCCATATTGTTTGTCTAAATCGAACTTGGATATAGGAGCAATTTAGCTAACCACACAGGAAAGGTTGAGTGAACCAACAAAAGCGGAAAATATCAGAGATAAATAATGAAAAAATAAAACAAAAGAAAAATCTTATCAAGAGTGTGTGATTGTAACGTCTCTGTATTCGTATCAAGCTGCAGCATCATCCCATATAGCTAAACACCAAAACACTAAGGCGTCTCAACATGGGTTTTGCCACTGACTGGTTCTTCAACAGCTCTTGTAGAGCCAGTCAGTGGCGAAACCCATGTTCGGATGCCTTAGTGTGTTGGTGTTTAATTATATGGGACAATGCTGCAGCTTGGTAAAAATGTAATAAATAACCTTTGACTTGACATAATGACTATAGCACCTTTGCGTATGGTTTGAACTATTAACAGTAATACTTTCAGCTATTAATGGATAGAAAACCTAACAGTAGTTCAAGAAGAACTTAAATGGAATATTAACATTTTCTCACTCACATCTTTAATAAAACTTTGACACTGAGTGGGTTAATCCACAGCTGAGGTGTGGCTGTAATCTTAGCATTAAGGTGTGTCTGACAAATGAAGAGACGCCTCTGTAAACCTGTACAGACACAACACGTGTAAATTCTCAGAACAGAAGTTGCAGCGTGTGAAAAGGATCCTTTTTTGCTTACTCTGGATTGTTTTTCAGAACAATATTTAGCACATTTATAGGCACATTAAGAAACATATATTTGATCTCTCTCTATATATATCTATATATATATATAGATATATATATATCAAATTTTGTTTTCATTTTTTTTATATATATACACTCAAAGAAATATACATCAGCCATGCTGGCTTCACCTTCCCCTCTGAAAACAGCTCTTCAATCAGAGGTTTTCCAGTGGCAAAATGAATCTTCACTTGCACTCCCATCAGACCACCGTCTGCGTATAGGATCATCTGGAGACCAGCGAGTCAAGGAACAAGTGATGATGACTGTTAGAAAGCAGAAGCCAAAAAGCTCACAATCATCATCCTTGAGCTACGCAAACAAAGGTATATTGAAATAGACCAAGAGAAGATAGCATGTGATTCCTGCTGAGGTTTATGAAGAAATCACAAAAGTAGAAATATGTTTATGAAAATGAACATTGTATGATGTACATAAATATTTTTGTTACATTAGAATGATGGTTTAATTGGTTTATGATACTCTTTAATTCATAATATTTAAAGACATAACTGTGACAAATTATTTAATTATTCCTTTGTAGATATTGGCACAATAGAACTTCAGAATACATTGTATTGCCCAATGTTATATACAACATTATATAACAAATTAATTAGGGCCATTTAGATACATTTTATAATAATATCTATTTCTATATGTTTCCATCTTTTTGGTGACACAATACTAGGCATGTTGAGCCCATTTCAATATTGGTTTCAGTTATACTCCTATTTAATCTATGTAACCCTCTATGTCAGTGGTTCCCAACCTTTTTTCACTTGAGTGCCCCTTGGCAACCCATATCCATAAATTGTAACCCTCCCATTAACAAAATGTTTGAAATTAATATAGTTGCATTTATTTCCAATGTATACATTTTCTCTGTCCCATATCCCCCTTTCTCTTCCCTAGGTTCTCCCTTCTTCTCCTCTGACCCAGGCTCCCACTGCTACTTCTCTGCCCCAGACAAACAAACTGTCACACATGCAGACACACATAAACAAACACTGACACTCCTATAGATACAGATACATGCACCTGCAGATACACAGATGCAAACACTGACACATGATTATACACACATGCAGATATACACACTGACACACATACAAGTACACAGATACATACCCTGACCCAAAGATACACACACTGACACATATGCAGATACACAGATACAGACTTACACATATACATACATAGACACAGACACAGATACCCACACTGACACACACAAATACACAGATACATACACTGACACACATACAGATACATACCCTGACACAAATGCAGATAAAATACCCTGACACAAAGATACATACTCTGACACACAGATACATACCCTGGCAAACATGCAGATACAAAGACGCACATACAAATACACCCCCTGACACACATGCAAATATACACACATGTAGACACACACACATGCAGACACACAGAGACACACACTGACCCACAGATACATATACCGACAAACATGCAAATACACAGACATATATATACATACCCTTACACACATACAGATACAGCGTGTGAGGGGTGCTCTGTCTGTGTGTGTGAATGGTGCTTTGTGTGAGGCGTGCTCTGTGTGAGGGGTGCTGTGTTCATGAATGGTGCTGTGTCTGTGAGGGGTGCTCTGTCTGTGTGTGTGTGAGGGGTGCTCTGCCTGTGTGTGTGAGGGGTGTTGTGTGTGTGTGTGTGAGGGTTGCTCTGTTTGTGAGGGTTGCTGTGTGTGTGTGTGAGGGTTGCTGTGTGTGTTAGGGGTGCTGTGTTTATGAGAGGTGATGTATGTGAGGGGTGCTGTGTGTGTTTGTGAGGGTTGCTCTGTGTGTTTTTGAGGGCTGGGTATTTCCTTAATCTTTCATTTTTGTTTGCAACATCCACACACAATTCCACAAGCAACCCCCATATAAAGCCAACATTCATAGGTATCATAAACAATACCACAAACCACTCATGAACATATACACTATAACAGCCCACATATGCACAAATACAATGCTAGAAAACAACTGCAGCACCCATGAATAACACAAAATATGACAATATACACACCTCAATTTAAGAAAGAAAAACTGTCACGCCAAGGGACTTAACCCGTTAACACAATAAGGGTGTTCGGTGCCATCTCCATTATATATTATATTGTGGGCTTTAAAGTCATTACGGCGGTATAGAATGCCCTAATTGTTTTGAGCCTCAGTGCTCAAGATGTACTCACCTCCACTGCAATCTGCTTCTGGGGGACTCCCTGACAGCCCAGGAAGTCCCCCCTCTGCAATTTAGGCCCCCGGGCATAGCTGTCTATGTGGCTGCCTGCAAGAGGACTACCTAAATTAACAGGCAGATAAAGCAATAAGCAATAATTAAGCAATCAGGGAAAAAAAAAAAAATATATATATATATATATATATATATATATATATATATATTTGTTATCCATAAACAGTGTATTTTTATGATAGTTGATAGTTCTAGATATCAATTTCAAAATAAACTTAATATAGAGTTATAAATATATATATATTTATATTTATTTATTTATAAAATATTTTACCAGGAAAGATACATTGAGATTTCTCTCTTTTTCAAGTATGTCTTGGGTCCACAAATCATTGCATTGTTATATTAGATACAACAAAATACAAAAACAATATTAATACACAATATATACAAAATTTAACATAGAACAGGCAGGAAATATATAATCAACCATGACACGTGCATTCTGTTTTGAGGTATGTAGAGAGGGATCTCTTAAATGACTTTAGGCTTAGGGAAGATTTTAAATTGTGCGGGAGGTCGTTCCACAATTGCGGTGCTCTGTAGGAGAAGGAGGATCGGGCCGCTTTCTTTTTGTATTGAGGTAGACTAAGTAAAGTGCTTGTACTGGATCGGAGCTTATAGAAAGTGGGAACAGCTGGGGAAAGCATTTTGTTCAGGTAGGGTGGGAGTTTCCCAGAAAAGCTCTTAAAAGCAAGGCTGGAAAGATGAAGGGTGCGTCTGGATTCCAGCGATAGCCAGTTTAGTTCTTTTAGCATGTCACAATGATGGGTCCTGTAATTACATTGTAGCACAAATCGGCAGAACGAGTTATACAATGTGTTGAGTTTATTAATGTGGGATTGCGATGCAGATGCATATACTACATCCCCATAATCAATGATTGGCATCAGCATTTTCTGTACAATCTTTTCCTTTACTTTATTGTTCCTTTGTTTCTGTACAGGGCACCTAATTTTGGATAAAGTTTAGATGCAAGCTTTTCTATGTGCAGGCCAAAAGATAGATTGGGGTCTAATATCATACCCAAGTATTTGAAAGAGTGGACTGCGGTCAGTGTGCCATTTGAATTTGTTTTGATGGATAGGTGGGAATTGTGTAATTTGTGTAATTTAGGTACTGTTCCAAAGATCATTGTGACAGTTTTGTCAGTGTTCAGGAAGAGTTTGTTTTTTGCGATCCACTTTTCTACCTCTGTAAACTGGTCTTGGAGCACAGCCTCAAGTTGCGGTAGATTGGATTTGCTCGCATAGATTACCGTGTCATCTGCGTACATGTGTAC